CAGCGTCTGGTGCAGGGTTTCGTTGCACATGCCCCTGGTTATTCTTGACCGTACCGGGGTTCTTCGGCCGGCTGGTTGAGCAAGTAGTAGTCGTTTCGCCTTTCTTTTTGAAAGCATCCGTAAAACGTGCCTAAACCGTCGTAGTTATGACTTCTCAGTCGGAAGTAGTAGTGGCTTTACACGTGCACTCTCGGATTTCTGTTCTCCAGACGATGACGAGGCGGGTAAGCCCAGCGATTTGTTTCAAAAAGCCCATAAAAGCTACTTGTTCTCGAGATCGAAGTTTTTCGGTCATGACCCAACATTCATCACCATAGGTTAGCATATGGATAAAGATTGACATGAACACCGAGAACTTAGTTATCAGACACAACTAGTCTTACTTAGTTAGACAACTAACCGTTTGTCTTAGTTCACCGAGGGCGTAGCTGGCCGTTCCAATTCGCCAATAGATCTCTTTCTCCCATTTTCTTCTACCGGTAGTCACAACCTTGACGTATGTGAATTTTACACGTTTTATACTATATTATAGATATATGCTTCGAAGATGCCCAAAATTACAATAAATATATATTACTGCATCGTAAAGACTGCATTTTGCGAAGTGAAGGTATATATAAAAAATGTAAAGATATAACTCAGTCCCAGTTTATACATTCAACGTCAATTCCCATAAATTGTGATAAAATGGTACATTTCATAGAGCGAAACGCATGAGTTTCATTAAATCATCGTTTCACATTGTCCGCAAGTGATTATAAATATTTTATTGCTTTGTAATGGACGCTTGTTATTTGAAGTGAATAGATACATTTCATTGAATTTCAATTGTATGCGTATAAAATTATTTTGTGTATTTAATACAGTGTATTCTAATTCAGGGTAATTTTAGGAGTTAGAAAAATTTATAAATTTGAATGAGTGAATAAGCATATCTTTAAAATATAATTTAACTTTACAAAATGCAGTCTCTGCCCTATGATTCTGATTATCATTTTGCACTTCACCGGGCCAAGCATTCCCTTGCGTTTGACTTGACTGATAGATATTACTCTGAAGACCTATAAGCAAATCCCGTAAAATATAGAAGATTTAAAATAGATTTTTCAGAACAGCTTTTTTGAATTCGATATTGGTTTTTCTGTCCGAGAGATGAAAATGTCAGCAGAGATGTGAACATTGGCTCAATTTCAGGTGGGCGAAACTTCGATTAGCTATGGTTCCCGTGGTGTTCATATTGGAACCGTTTCAAGAATGTATGCTACTTGGTTTCTTGACCTCACTGGCGGTCAGTACGCTATTTCAGTGGGATTCCGTCCTGTTTTTCGTTGTTCATGTGATTTGTTGGATGAGTTTAGATTATGTTTTGCTTCGAATCATTCAGGTACGTTGCATTTGTTTTTAGTCTTCAGGTGATTATTTTTTTCGTATCTGTATTTTAGGGATGTCCTCTGCCGTGTAAAAAACTGGAACTGTTCATTTGTTGGTTGTGCAGGGAACTTATGGCGCCTTCGATATTGGGAAGGGCTTTGTGGAGCCCGACTTTTTCTTGGAAATCCGGTTCTTTCCGTCTTAACTGGGGTGGAGTTGCTGAAGTAGTCAGAGTGTAGAAAAATTTTGTATATTCTGCGCTGTGGTGTTTTAAGCTGAGTTGCCCAAAACTGAAGGTTGATGCTGTTTTCTCTATTAATTTTCAGTTTTGAAAGTAGTTAAGTTTTTGAATATATTTTCAGTCTAATGTTTGTGATACTAGGAACTTCTCTGTTTAGTTCTACTGCTACCTTAAATGTTTTTGTTTTTCGTAAAATGCATTTGTAAAGCTATTTTACTACCAGATGTGCGCTTATGTTACTACGTAAAAATTGCACGTTTGGAAAATGCCCGTTATTTTTCTTTGTTGCTTCCTTCTCATTGAAGTTGAGTTATCTCGCGTTCAGAGCATTTGCATTTTGTTGCTTAGTGCAAACATTTTCCCTGTTTAGAGAAGTATCCGGTGTGAGGAAAGTATCTGAATACTTATAGTGGTCTGTGGATAAAACGTGTACGGTGACGTGCGACAGATAAACGCTAAGAATGCAGACTATCACAACCTTCTTATGGCCGATAGTTGGAGGACCGTTATTGATCATAGCAGTGCACTGTAAAATCTAATTTTTAATCGATGGTGCCAAAAGTGTTTCAGTCATGTTGGGCCTGCATTGTGAAATATTGCACAACAGGTAAGGTAACATTATTTGTTCATTCGCTACGACTGTTCGTAACAAGTTTTTCGGTTAAGAGCATGCACTGAACAAGTGCAATCGTGTACTGTTCCACCTGTTTACTCATCTCGTTTTGTTCGCTGTTTCGACCACCTCCAAAACTTTAATCGTTTTATAAATTGTTACTTTTCCGACTACCATTCTCGAATCTGACCGGATCACGTGGTTTTTCAGGAATGTGTTACGATTCGGCATGGCCGTCGTCGTATGCTTTGCTAACGCGTCTTGTCCGTGAATCACATTTAAAACGTATTCCCGTTTACTTGATATGGTCATCTCCTGCTGCACAGTTAACAGACCAGATGATAACGTCGCAGGTTAAATGAAAGTCTCATGCAGAAAAAAACTCAATGCTATTTTTACGGTCATCCTTCACATTTCTGTAGGGATTAACCAAAATGTCAAAGGAAAAATTAATTTCGTTCTCAACATAATCTGTTTTCGTTTCATCGCTGCCTTATTCTTTGATTTGTTGATGTTTCTAGAAAAAATGGAGGAACGCGAGGGATAAGCAGTTTCTCAGTCGAAGAATCATTTAATACTCGGACAACACGCTTGTCTATGACCCTTAATTAGATGAGTATGATAGACCGTTAACATTTAACGATCACTTACTGGCGTGGTAAATAAGAGATCAGCTTTAAACTCGAACTCCGGAGGTGCAGAATTCGATTCCCGCGGCGGGCAGTCTTTGATTTGAAAATCCCTGGAGCCAGAATTTTACCAAGTGTTGCTTCAGATCATGGTTACTCGGTCGGAACAGCGCGAATAACTTGGCGCAACTCGACCTGCATGAAAATAACTCAGCGCATAACTTGTCAGTCTGAACAGTAGTTGACTTTTGTGCGAAACGTTAGGAGTCCGATATAACCTGTGCACGTAACAATGGACATGACATTTCTTCTGTTCGTGACGTGTCGAAAGTTGGAATCACGTTTCTATTACAGAAAATAATGCGATTTTCATATGCATGCAATCACAATGTTTCGAGAAGTCACAAACAAGTAAAATAGCATAAAAACTTTAATTATAACCATGGCTAGTTTAGGACCGTACTATAATCAGTTATCATGATGATAGCATGAGACACGGCGCCGCTTTTAGGGAAGTCGCTTAAATGTTTTTGGTCCTAAACGACTGTTTCATACGTCATCGACACCTGTGCCAAGGTCACGCGGAGCACAATTGTTTCCTTGAATCTTTCCTCGCGCGACGTCCTTTATCCTCAAAAAATAGTGTTCTGGTGGATCATGGTATTTTGTACTATTGGGAGATTTCTTTTCACATTTCGATGTAATAACCTTAAGATCTGCTGTTTCTTTCCGTCCTTTGCCTTTTGCTATAGACTTCTTTTTCGTTAGCAGCGTTCTGTCACTTAGTGAGCTTTCGTTTATATTCAGTAATTCAAGGATGTTGCCAGTTTCGCTGATTTGCACTGATACATGTGAGCTTCTTTACCCAGACTTTCGTTTACTTCTTCGGTCTGTTTGTTTTCAGGTTGCCGAGGCGACTACAAAGTGTATACAATGTTGAAACCGGTTTGGCACGCAAACATAATCACTTTTTGATAAGTTACGAATGTGTGGTAACACGATATAGCTCCTACCGCCGGGTGCAGCGAGTAATGATCATCGTTAAAAAACATATTAGACTTTCATTGTTTATTATATAGGCGAATATACATTTTTTAGCATTTCACGTTTGTCACTCCGTTAATCAGGTGTTCAACCGACAATTAAAAAAAGGGCCACTAATAAAGCAGTTTTACTGCAGACGAACGTTTGCTTCTCGCGAAACTGTTAAAAACTGTTCGTCAAAAATTTTCTCCACTTGACGCTGCAGGTCTTGCGCCATATCTATCACTATCAAGTTTAAAAGACCTCGCCACGCAGACGCATCTCCTTGATTTTTTTATACATTTTTTCTTTCTGTATCAACTCCGGATCAAGACGTCCTTCGCGCTTCAGCTTATTCCACTGTCGCATGTTCAACGGCACGTTAGTACCGTATTTGTAGCGGGCGATCACCATGTATGAAACGTAACTCCACAACATCAAGCCACTGAAGATGAGCGCCATTGGAAACCTGCGTATCAACCACAGTCGATGGGCAATTCTGTACGCCAAATAACGTCCTTTTGTCAGCGGGCTATGTTCATAAGGCTGAAACACCTTGCTCGAACTGTTCTTCAGCTGCTCCGCGCCAGAACTAAGCCAGCGACGACGGGTCAGAACAATTGCTTCCTCTCTGTTCACTATCCAAAGGGCTACTGCCCTAGATACAGAGGTTCCCAAAAGGAAGTTCATTAGTGCGCCCTACTCACAGTAAACACAATGATTATCAATACTGTCACCTAAATAATCAAACGACAGGTTCAGATTCAAGTAGAAGAAAAACGAAGGTAGTATTAAGCAAGGTCGCTTGACCATAAACAGAAAACAGTGAAGAACTAAAATTTTAATTAAAATCAAAACTGTCATGTATCCACATAGAGTGAATGGAAGGTCGCATTACCTTGGTAACAAACATATGTACATAGTAAAATAGACTTTAAAAGTAAAAATTTTGTACACGAGCGCTAAATGCGAACGGTATGTTTTTGTTTCGTCGGCTTCTTACGGGTCAGGCAACCGAATCACAGATTCATTCATTGGTCAGGAATGGCTTTATCACAATACACTGAGGGAGGAGGACGACGAAGAGCGTGAGCCGCTGCTGTCTGTCATAAGTCAAAATGCACTAAACGGCGTGTGCCAGCGCCCCGTTCTTGGTCACTGGGTCGAGCTTCGTCGTCACCTCAGGAATCGCTCCTCGTCCTTCGATCGTCGGCTGGTAGATACCGGAGCCGCCCTGGAAGTCGTCGTTGTCCAGCGT